GCCAGTGACCCTCTTCCTTCCCCTTCTACTTTGAAGGGCTAGTAAAGTCCGGAGGGGTCGAAGAACCAGATGCCAGAGAGACCGGCTGCTCCCTCCTCACCGGCTTCCCTCAGATGCTCCTTGGTCCACCTCTGGCCTGCCCGGCCGGACCGGCCTGGGGATGGTTAGGGAGCGGTCCCCTGTGCCAGGAATCGGCACTCCTTTCCAAGGAAGGCCTTGCTCCGCATCTCACGTAGATCACCTTCCAGGTGGGAGATGTTTGCCTGGCAGTTAAATCAGCTCCTCTCTTTTTATTGTAAATTGCTGTACATTGGAAGGATTGCTGGCGGCTTGTATACCGCCTAGAACTCTGCAGAGATAAAGCCCGGTACAAGCCTTTTAAAAGATAATAAATAAATGGTTAAGCTGCCGACAGGCGCATTGAGGAAGCGGAAAATAAAGAGAAGACACTCCAAACAGGGAAGTTCAAATAAGCCTGTCTTGGGCCCAGCCTCACCTCCAAACCGGCCACCACACCTGGTTTCCTTGCCCTCTGGAGACGCCACCTCTCCCCCAGGGTTGAGGACGAGCTTCTGCTCCCAAAGGCGGCCTGCCCCTGTTCCTGAGACAACGCCAACCTTTCCTGGGAGATGGCTCTGGCATCCCGGTTGCAGGCAAGGAAAATGCAAGGGTCAAGCCAGGTGTCTCCTCTGAAAAGAGCCTTGGTTCCTGCATGCCAGGTGAGAGCCACAGAATTCTCCCATGTTCTCCTCCAAGGAAGCCCAGGCCTTAAAGCAGCTTCTCTCCCCCCCCCCTCAGGCCCTGCAACTGAGGTGGAAGGGCAGAGCAGTAACTGTGGGGGTTGCATCCTCCGTGGCAGGATGCATGCATGCATGCATGCATGCATGTGTCTTGGTCTCCCACCCGGATCAGCAGCAGGGACCATCGAGATGTGGACAGAGTCAGAGTGGTGCCCTCCTCCTTTCTTTCTTTCTTTCTCCCTCCCACCCATCGCAGCCGGCCGTGGTTCTGTCCTCTACCAGGTGCCCCTGCCAGATTGGCCGCATGGGGTGTGTGCGTGTGCACGCGGGCTGTTCCGCAAGCTGGCCATTCCTTTCCTGGGGGGTCGCTTCAGATAATTCTCTTGTGTTTTGTCTCAGCTGGGCTGGATTATTTCAGTCCTTGGTGTGATTCTGGCATAAAGACATTTGACCCCATTTTATTGGCAGCTTTATTCCATTGGTTTATTTAAGAACTGGATGGAATAGAAAATAAAACACTTCTTTCCTATGCCTCAGAATAGGGGTGGTGGTGGCCCCATCTCAGAATCCTGCGGTGTGGGTTTGCGCACAGTTTGCCAAACCCCAGAAGGCGGTTCCTCCCGCCCCCCAGTCCTTTCCTTTGGCAGAGGAAGAGGCACCCCCACCTGCCCCCCACCTCCTGACCTGGCAGACTCTCCTTTGGCCCCTCCCTGGAGCAGGCAACCTTCACTTCAATGGGGAGGCCTCAGAGCAGCCTGTCTGGAAGGGTGTGTATGGGGGGCAGGGAGGAGTTGGGGGTGAGCCACGAGAGGGCTCTGTGGTCCTCAGGAGCACCTCAGCGGCACTTCCGCCCCCTCTGCTCAGGTCAAAGCCCCCCCCACCCGCCATGCCCAGCTGGACAGGGTGTCTCCTCTTCCTCCTCGCTGATCCCGAGGAGGGGCCCTCAGGCCTACTTCCAAGAAATGGGGTGCAGCAGCCCTTTTCCTGCCCCAATCCCCCTAGACCAGCAGTGCCTCCATCTGGGCGGGGGGGGGGAGAGAGAAACCCCTGCAGCTGCTCGGCGCCAACAGAGAACCTGAGGATCATGTCCTGGGAATCTCAGGTGGGTTCCTCCCTCCCTCATCCCAGCTGCTGGGAGGAGGGCAGGTGGGGGCCAGTCCGGGGCCTTCTGTACCACCCAAGAGGGAGGGGCAGGGGCAGCGTCCCTCTGCCACAGGGCACCAGCAGCCCTGCCCGGGGGCTCGGCTCCATGGGAGACCTTTGGACCCTCCAGCCTTCCTTCCTGGCACTTCCGGGAGCCGTCCAGAGCCGTGCCCTGAGGCCCCCAGACCGTGGCCACCACGGCTTTTCTGGAGCCCTCGGATGAGCAGGCTGCCCTCTTGTGCTCCTTCAGGTGTGTTGGGCTGGCATGACGCGTTCTGACACGCGGGGGCCCTCCACCGTCCGGGAGCCGTCCAGGGTCCCTGGAGGCTCCTCCCCTTGGGGTCGTGCCCTGAGGCCCCCAGACCGTGGCCACCACGGCTTTTCTGGAGCCCTCGGACGAGCAGGCTGCCCTCTTGCCCTCCTTCAGGTGTGTTGGGCTGGTATGACGCGTTCTGACACGCGGGGGCCCTCCACTTTCGGTGGGGAGGATGAGACTCCTGACAGGGAAGGCCCCAGTTGATTCCCAGTGGTCCTGATCCGGAACTCCTGGCTGCCAGTGACCTCTTTGATCCACCTACATGGGCACCGCTGGGTGTTTCGATAGGCGGTATTGCCTTTAAGTGAACCAGGGAAGGGCGATGGTGTGGTTGTTGTTGGGCGGGGGGGGAGAGAAGGGGCTGTGAAGGGAGGCACGCTTCCAGGAGGCAACTGGGAGGGGGCGCGCGGCCATGTTCCCTCTTCGATCTCCCTCTGATGGATGGCCTTGCTGTTCTCTTGTGAAACTTCTTTGGGGCTGTAAATCAACTTCCTCCCTCCCAGACCTTGCCCTTCGTGTCAGAGACCCCCGTGGGTGGGCAGGGTTGGTCTGTCCATGGACCCATGCAGATGCTGACCCTTGCACCACCACCCCCATGAAGGGGCTCCTGCGGGCTCCTGGAATAGAGGAACTGGGAGGAGGTTGGAGGGGGGGGAAGAGTCCCATGAGTGATGGCCTGGAGGAGGAATGGGGGGAGCTGGAGTCCGGGGGGGGGCAGGCAGAGAACAACCTATCCTGGAGGCTGGAAAGGGACTCCAGCAGGACTGAGGACTTGGGGACTCTTCCTGTGGCCCCTTTAAGGGAAGTTGCTGAGGGCCACGGAGGTCAGGGGTGGAGGAAGGGGGCCGACTCTCCTCTCTCCATTTATGTGGGCCCATCAGCCCCGCCAGCCCTTGAAAAGCAGGGGATTTGGCTTGGCTGACCTTCCTAAGTCAGGGAATGTCTCTCCCCCCCACACACACACCCACGCCCCCCCCACCAGGAGCTGGTCTCCCTTGCCCGAAGAAGGGGGAGGAACAGATGCCCCAGGGTGAGCTGTGAGGATGGCAATCAGCCCCTGGGTGGGTGGGGGGAGCGGAGCAGAGCGCCCCCCCCTCAGGCAGCAGGGGCCTTCATCTCATGCAGCCTCGTGAGTATCAGGGCGATGAGACCTGGGCCTTTCCAGTGGGGTACCTGCTTCACCCTCCCCTCCTGCCCCCCCAACCAGTGCCACCAGTATACAGATGGCCAAGGAGTAGCCTTGTCCGCACACAGTTCCTTTCCCACATAGGAGGAAGAGGAGGGTGTGTGTCCCCCCCCCTCCACTGCCTGGGAAGGGAGGAACCTCAGCACGCAGGCAGCCCGACGCACCCATCCAGCCCTTTCCTGTCACTGCCGCTCTGCTTGGCTTGGCTTCTGGGTTTCTGGAGCTCAGGGCAAAGGGACCGCAGGGGTGAGGTAACCTCCCACCCAGGGGCCTTACCATAGACCACGGTGGCCCTGGGGGCTGAGGTAACCTCTCCCCCCCCCCGTGAGGAAGGCATTCCCGCTCCAGCTGCTGCCACCCATGTCAGGGCCAGCAGGCAGGCATCGGAAAAGGCTGGCATTGGAGTTCCACTGGCCGCTGCCCAGGTGTGAAGAGTGTGTGTGTTGGGGGGGGAGGTTGGCACAGAGCCCCAGCCATGGCAGGGGCTGGGGGTGGGGGGGGCATTACAGCCCTGCCCTCCATCGCAAGGGCCAGTCTCAGTCTGTCCAGAACCGGCCGGCCGGCCAGCCTCCCCATCAGCTGGTGCAGACGCTGGTGACGGAGGCGCTCCCGGCCTGGGGGTCCACCAGCCCCAGCTCCTCCTGCTCGTTGATGCAGAGCTGGTAACCGCAGCCTTTCCGGCGAGGCAGAGGGCCGGCCAGGCCACCGGCTGCCGTGGCCGTTGTGTCGGGCTTGGCCCGGGGGGGCAGCAGGAAGCCCACGCTCCCGGCAATGAGCATGTGCCAAATGCTGTGGATATAGAAGTAGTTCTCCTCGGTCTCGACAAAGGCGTAGAGCAGGATGGCCGAGGCGGCAATCAGCGCCCCAGGCAACAGGTAGAAGATCCAGCGCTGCCAGGTTGGGGGGTAGCAGTGCCGCCGCCGGATGCTCCGGGCCGTCTGCAGGCAAAGGAGAAAGACAGGAGGTCTGAGCTCGGAAGCCAACCGTGGGCCACCGCCTTGGCATCTTTTCTCAAAAGAGTGTTTGGCAGCACAAGCCTTAGTCCTGGATGAAAAAGGTGTGGGTGAGGCCCAGGTCCAGCTCCAATTTACCCCCTCCAGGCTCCGAGTCTGGATTTGTGAGCCAAAAAGAGGTGGTCATCATCCCGCTACCACTACCTAGGTGGAGGAGATCCGAAGCCCTCCTTCAGCCAGAACAGAGAGGGCACCCTCCACCAAACTTTCCCGGGATGCTTGGCATGCATGTAACCCACTGTGTGGGAACAGATCACCTGGACCCGGGCCTCACCGGCACAGCAGGCGAAATGACCTGTCCAAGAAAGTAGGCCAGCGCAGAACCTGGTGATGTCCTGACTCTTCAGAGCCGAGGGAGCTCTGTCTGGTCTCTGCCAAGCGGAGGGAGGAGGACCCGGCTGGCCCCCTTCTCCTGCCAGAGGGGGAAGCAGACACCCACACACATGCACCCCACTCTGATCTTGTCTTTACCCAGGCAATGGCCATGATCCCTAAGGCAAAAAGACTGGGTCCCAGCAGGTTCCAGAGGCCATGACGGTCCAGCTGCAGGGCCATGGAGAGCAGCATGGCGCCCAACAGGTAGAGCACCTGCCCAGAGAGGAAAACAGGGAGGGAGGAGGTGAGCGGGAGCCCCAGGGGGGCACAAGCGGTTGCCTGCCTAGCTTGAGAGTGGGCTGCCCCAGGTTCAGCTCAGGACGACCCTTTGTGGAGGAGGGCATTTTAAGGGACAGGACAAATGGGTGCTTAGCAAAGGGCCATTTTTGCCTTCAATTTTTGGGCAGCTGCTTCTTCACGCCCCCCCCCGCCCACTTTGCTCCAGTCCCAGAGAATCCACCCCTGAGGTCCACAATGGACATCCCACAACTCAGGGGAGCCCCCTCCTCCCATCTGCCTGCATGCTTCTGACGGGCAGCCATGCCCCCTGGTGGCGCATGCCAACCCCTGGGGGAGCCCTCCCTCCCCCATCCTTCTTGCCAGGCCAGGTTGGGTGTGGGTGTGGCTCCTCCCCTCACCTGCTTGACCACCGGCTGGAGCCGGGCCATGGCGATGACCGTGACCCAGACGGACATGAGGGAGCCCAAGAAGTCACAGAACTGCAGGACGTCATAGTCCATGATGCAAAAGACAACAATGCCTGGCTGGTCACAGGCGTGGTAGAACTGAAGCAAAGAGGGTGGAGGTCAGACAGCCCCCCCCAGAACCCCAGTCCTCCCCCCTACCCCACCCTTCCCCCCTCCTGGGACTGGGAAAGACCTCCTTCCAGCTGCAGGTCAGATAGTTTAGTAAGAAGGCAGCCCAGAACAAGGACATGAAAGGGGAGCATAAAACAGCAGTGATCAGAGGAGATCATTTCACCCCTGTCTTTGGTCCCCTGAATGAAATCAACCAGCAGCAGGTTCAAAATGGCTAATTCTGGCACGTAGAATTCACTGCCAAGTGCAGTGGAGAGGAGTTTATTGGGTTGCGTCCGCTACAGTCCCTTTAGCAAGAGATGGGTCCTGTGCGCCCGGCAGGGATCAGTATTAAAGAGGGAAGCTGAACCTCCCTGCCCAGAGGCCGGCTCCTTCTGAGACAGGGCCTGCTTGCTTTGCTAAAACTCTTCCAGGTGGAAGATGCCCCTCCTGCCAACCAGCACAAACGGCAGAGCCTTGCTTAATCCTTCTCCCCCTCCTCCCCCTGCAGAGACCTCTTTTTCCATTAAGCCCCAAGACCTACGGGGGTGGGGGGTGGACAAAGGTCCTGGCAAAAGACACACACTCACAGTGGAGAAGAACATGGTGAAGATGTAGACAGCGGCCTCCAGGAGGTAGTGGCTCCGCACGGCGATGACCACCGGCGGGACGAACATGAGGTTGCTGAGGCAGAGGAGCAGCGTGGAGAGCAGCTGGAAGCCGTAGGAGAAGGCCGCTGTGTTGTCTGTGCAGCCCCAGCCGCTCCAGCCTGGGT